TCAGTTTCTATATGGCCAGAGTTGGCCAGATGGAAACATGAAATGTTAAGGGAGTTTTTGTCTATTGGTTTCTATATTCTCTGTGAAATTGGAGATGAGGTTCTCCTCTAAGAGTTATAAAAAAAGAAGTGAGATGGAAAGCTTGAGGAGTGTGGTAAAAGTATGAAATATATGCAGAGAGGAAAGACAAAGGGAATGGAAGGATTGCTGGTTAGCATTAGGGACCCAGCCAGATTTGAGACCATTAATTCTTATCGGGTAGAAGTATTAGCTTAGTAGTATACCTGTATTAGAGACTATTTCTCTGCCCAATAATTTTATTACACCATTTTTATCAAATGTTTTTTTTTTCTTTAGGGATTAAATATGATTGGAACAGTCTCTAATAGAAGCCCTAATTTATTCAAAATACTTCAGTTAGTACCTTATGTGAGAGTTGCTTAGCTCAGTCATGTAACACTTATTCCTTATATTAGCCTTCACAAGTGTTGCTTTAGTGAGGTAACAGATCACCAGCAAACACATGCTGTTATGTTTTTGTTTTTTTGTTTTACCTATACACAGGGGATTTTTCTGAAGAAAGCCATGTTATCTTGTTGGTTAGCACGATTGTGCAAACAAGTTGCTCAGTGATAGTTTGGCTCAATGGGAGAAGCCATGCAATAATACTGCATCCGTTGCATAAGTAAGAGCTAGCTTACAGTAAGACAAAAGAAAAAGTGTGTAACTTTGTAAAAATATCATTCTGTGAAATGAAGCACTGTTGGTTGTCTTTGAGTTGAAATATAGTGAAAAATTACTGAGAAAAAGGTGTCATGGATCTAATTTGAAAAGGTTTTAAATATCTCATTGGAAAAAGCCCTTTTAAAAATTTTAAAGATCAATGTGAAATCATTAACTGGGCCATTGTTATAGTTTTCAATTTGGAACACTTCTGTACAACTATTAAGTCATTCGAATTATGGGGATTTTATTAGAATTTGATCTAAGTTGTAGTACTTTAAATGAAAAGAAATCATTTTACTAAATGTATAAAATAAGTAATCCTTTGCCTCAGGAATAAACAGGTATTTTCCTAAATACCAATTAAACTTGGAATCTGTTTAAGTAATCAGCTATAACATGAAACAAAAAATTGAAAGAGAACCCTTCTTCCCTGTCCACTATGCTTTCATGCACGTAGAAGAAGACACAAAGGTTGAATCAGACACACTTCCCCCTTTTTGAGACCCCAGATATCTCTCTGACCTTGTTGCACAACATTTCCTTCCTGGGTAGATAATGGGTTACCTCTTTTTAATTTTTTTCCTGTCTTTTTTAATTCTTTGGTAAGACTGGAGAAGGTTTGAATCTTTCAGTAAGGTGCAAGCTGTAAAGAGTGTGACAAATGCATTTTAGCTAGTGAAAAGGAGCACGAGGAACAAAAATATTAATTAAAATAAATATATGAATGGTAATTTCTCCTTCAGGTGTGAAAAATTAGGTAAATGAGTATATTTTGAGCATGAGTTGAAATACGTAGTCTTCTGCTTGTCCTTTGGTGATGTCGACTTTATACCTCTGTGCTAGTTTTTCAAATAATTTCTCCTCTAGTATATGATGAAAAATTCAGTGCAGGGAAGATATGGCAGAGCTAGATAAGCTAAGAATTAGTGAAATAATTGTTTTTCCTATGTTTTTTTCTCAGTGTGGCAATTCTTGGCTTTATGACTCACCCAGAGGATTGTGAATTCCAACCTAATTCCCCTACACTCTCCAGCAGCCCCTTTCTGGGCTGCCTTTTTCTATTGCCTAGCTTTTCGTGCTCAGGAAATAGCAAAAAAAACAAACCTAGGAGGTTAACCTGGTAAACAATTAAACATCTTATGCATTCAAACCTAATTTTAATGACTTTAGAGTTGTTCAGTGTTTTGTTATTTACTACATTTTGTTTTCTTCATTCACGTAATGTCTGTCATATTCTCAGCTCTATTCCTTTTTTCATAGTGTATTCTTCTCTATTCCAAATTGATTTTTGGTGCCAACCACGTTTTCATTATAGCCCTTACCACCTTTGGTTCAAAAATGACTTTTAGATCCTCACCGTTTGTGCCTCAAATTGAACCAGTCATCCGTCTGCTATCTATCCATCCATTCACCCATCCATCAAACACATACAGTGAATAAGACACAATCCCTGGCTTCAAGGGGCGCACAACCTGGCGAGAGCAGTCAGGCAAGTAAACAGGTAGCCGCAGTCCATTGTGGTATTGCTGCAATAAGGCTAAGTTCAGAGACCTTTGAGAGGATATAAGAAGGCCACAAACCTCGTCTTGAGGAATTTGAGCTCTTGAGCTGATAAAGAGCTAAGCTGAGGTCTGAAGAAACTAACTATAAGCAAAAAGGGCACCAAAGCCAACATTGGAAAATATCTAGGAAGGAAGAGAGCCTGTTTAAACACTGATTGGAAAAGCTGAAAGAAAGGAAGAGGATGGTCGCTCTGGAGTCTGAACAGGCGTCTTTTCTTCTTTATTCTGGTTCTGACCAGGGTCTTCGAGTTAGACAAACTGGAGTGTGAATTCTGTGAGGCCTTTCCTAATCACCCTGGCAGGCTTCCCGTTCCACGCTCTGTTCCCTTTTGACACTTTACTTTTCTCTAAACATTTATCACCATATGATGCACTTTATATTTTACTTGTATGTTTGTTCATTGCTTGTCCCGCTCCCAATTGTAAATTTAATGTGAGCAGGGATTTTTTTTTTACTGTTTTATTCACCACTATAACATCTGAAACAGCGTCTAACACAAAGTAGGTGTTCAGTAAATTTTTGTTGAAGAAATAAATCCTGGTTCCCATCTATTACTTCGTTATGTGACTTTTAGCAATTTACTTAACCATTTAAAGCCTTGATTTCCTCATTGGTTAAATAGAAAAAATACCTACTTAATGACGAGTAAATGAGGTAACGTGTATAAAGTAATCAATGTAAGATTCTACAATTCTCCATGTGAAAACTGTGGACCAGATGTAGTTTGAAATTCAGAATTGTTCATATTTTAGAAAGATAATAAGGTGCACATATTATACATTACATAACATCTTAGCAGGGTCTGATAAACAGCCCAGAAACTAATGGGTAACATTTGTACAGCAAAACATACAAATATTCACATTTAAATGGGATAAATGAAGCTATATAGCAGTTTCACATTTGTTCAGGTCAAATTTTGCCTCTTAAAGGAGCTTAAGTCAGAGTTTTGCAGTCAAATTAGTTACAGAATTACTTAAGGTTTTTCAGAGCTGATTGGATACTGGAACATGGATATAGGATTGTGGACCTGTGCCTGACACACACTAGTTGTTTTACAGGCGTCCCCCTTTCCATTTTTTTTTTAATTGCATAGTTCCTAAAAATATTTAGGGGAGTGGGTCTCTATAAAGGCAGGGACCATTCTATGTTCACTAACATACGTATCTCAAGTGCCTGAACACTGTCTGGGACATAGTTGGTGCTCATTAAATATTACTGACTATCATGTTTATGACATAAAATTGAATTGTGTTAATATTTATTAAGTATCTAAAGTAGAGAAATCCAATTTTAATTACTACTGTAAAAAAGACTGCATAACAGATTTTTGTTAATGTGATTATGAGAAAATTTCTGTAATCTCATGTCTTATCTTTTTTTTTCCTATTTTGTATACCAAATGATGAATGCTTTCATTATAAAAGGAGAGCTGAAGCTCATTTATTCCAGAAATATTTACTGAGAACCTTCCATGTACCAAGTGCTGTGATATTCATCATAGATTCAGTAGTAAAAATATATATATATATATATATATATATCCTATCTTTTCAAAAACTTGAAGTCAGTGTTTGTAGTTCCTTAGCTGCCAGTGAACAATTGTGCCTCGGATCCTTTTACCTGTCACTACCTCTGTCATCAACCCACTCGCACATGGAATACATCTAAAGTCATAAAGTACACCACAAAAAAATGTGTAAAATGTACCTGGATTTTAGTGGAGAAAAAATTATTAGGTTGTATGAGAGTGTTAGCATCTTAAAGTGTTAATGTTTTCTGCTCTAGTTAGAGTATTTCTTTTCCTAATATATTTTAAAGATTCCGGGCTTAAATCCGTTACATCTTTAGGGTTATAAACTATGCAAGTACAGTAGGTCCTCGAATAATAATGCTTCATTCAAAATTGTTTTGTTATAACGTTGATGAGATGCTTTAGGAACTTGGCTCTTGTTTACATCAATTAGCCTATGGTAAAATTGGTTTCATTATATATCATTTTGCTTAAAATCGCACAACCTATCGATAACGTTAAGTGAGGACTTACTGTAATCTTTAATAGTATGCTTATCACGATGAAAATAGGGGTAACAAACACTTTTGAGTCCCATGATATATTTTATTATGAGAGTTTATCTTTCTCAGAGAGCAACACAGATGAATCTCTTTAGCATAGTCAAGTTGAATTAAACTTGCCTTAACATTTAAACCATAGTGTGCTGTAATTGTTTTACATGCACTAAACTGTTGCTTTGATATTTGCTTAGGTCTGCGTTATGAAATAACAAAACTCTTGGAGTGAGTGCAATGCATACTAATCTTTAGCTGTGACATACTTGTGAGGAGTGTTGGAATTTCTTTAGGCTCATAAAAGTACTATAAAATTGTTCTTATCTTATTTTAGTTACAGTGTGTTCTCTGTCCTTCATCCACAGTTGTTATGGGCTTTGCTTTACTTCTCTGTAGTTGTGCTAAATTGTACCAAGGACATTCTCATGGCCAACTCTCCTTAGACTGGGAAAATGTTGGAAGAATGGTCTGTGGTCGAAAAACAGAATGAAGCAGTAACCCTTAACAGGATAAGCTATCATTTGATATTGAGAAAACAATCCACAGACAGTTCTTTATACTATCCTAATAAATAAAAAAGTTGAGCTATTACATGAATTCTTTCTTGAAGTTTACATTATAACACACTCTCTTGTTCACAGCATAAACAAATGTAAAAATTACTATGAAGTACTTGGAGTTACCAAAGATGCTGGTGATGAAGATTTGAAAAAAGCTTATAGAAAGCTTGCTTTGAAGTTTCATCCAGACAAAAACCATGCACCTGGAGCAACAGATGCTTTTAAAAGTAAAGTAAACCTTTTAAAGCAATTTTACTAAGCTTTTTAGAATCCACTTACAGCGTTTCAGAATATTAAATTCTGCCTTTAGACTGGTGGTGCATTTAGAAGCCAGCATAAGCAAGGGTCCTCAAAATTCTTTAAAACATCACTATTAACTTGTGTACCAAGGACCAAACAAGTACAGTTTGGCTTCACAAAAGCAATGTGCCAATTTTGGGAAAGCCCTAAGTAACTTACAAAGAGATACCCAAGCATGTGTTCTAGTTTACCACGCGCAAGTAGTGTGATGATTATGCACAAGTTTCTAGTGTATTACCATGTGGTTCCAAAGGAACTAAAAGCAAAGTACAGTTTTTGTGAGTTTTTAAGATATTGCGATATTAGATACTAGAATTGGGAGATTATTTGGAATTGCTGTCTGTTCAGTGTTCTTCTATTTCTATTCTGGCCAGTTTTTGCGTTTTTTTATATGTAGTTCTAACATGTCTTTTTTTCCTTTTAACAATTAGTTTCATTTCTCTTGACTACTATTCATTTGTCTTCTTTTCTTTCTCAATATTATTTCTGGGTTTTTGCCCAGTTAGTAAATAAGTGTCAAAGAACTGATTTTGTAATTTCATATTTTGTTACATGCAGTTTATTCATAAGAGTTAACTTCTAATTCATAGGAAAATGCTTAAATTTGTGGGTTTTTTGTTCTTCTAAATTTGGCACGCATAGAGCCAAGTATAATATTTATAGTGAAATGCTGGGGTCTTGGAATAATGAGATACTTATTTTTTAAATGTTCCTAAAAGATAGATGACTCAGTTGGTCTTTCATACAAAACAGTTTCCAAACAGTTTTATTTCTTGAAGGAAGCTGCCAAGCAAAATACATTTGGGGATTGTTAATATATTCCAATAAAAATGGCCTCCAAAGTGGTATTGGTGAAAGTAAAATAGCACTGTGACAGAGTCTTTGTTTCCTTAAATTAAAAGTGGCATGTTGATAGTATAGGAAAAGTTTCTTTACTCAGAAACACTAACTTTACCATATATTCTACCAAAAGTTAAAGCAAATTTTCACATTATGAATTAAAAGCATTTAATTTAAAATTTATATTGTTTTTAAATGTTTAAAAACATCTTGGCAGTGAGTTGTTTGCATATTTGTGATCTGCTAGGTGATGTCAGTATTAATTATTCATTAATGGTAAGAATGTTAAACTGCTTCTTTCTCCCACTTCTGCACTGAAGTTATGTTAGCATTATTGGTTTTGCAATAACAGGAAGTGGATCTACCAATATTTTTACAGCCTGTGTTGCATTTTGAGGAGATGAGCAGCATAAATGTCACCCCCCACTAGACACTCAGAAGGGGTTTTACAAAAGTGATTGTACTTTGGTTTAGCACATTTCAGATTTTAATGCTCTGCTTTATAAAACTAGAAACTTATTACTTATCAGCATGCCAGGAGGTAATTCATTTCTAGAGGAGAAGCTCACATTATTCAATATATGGGGGGTTTTCTGTCAGTCGGAATGTCAATTTATTAACCCCCAAAAGGATCAGAATGGGGAGTTGGTTGATGGGCCCATTTTTCATTGAGCATAAACTACATAGAAAATCCAGGTTGTAACCCACAGATGCTTGGTGAGCAAAGGTAGTTAATTAGAAAATATTACATGAAGTGTCATCATACGGAAATGTCAAGTTTCATTCATTCAGCACACAGGATGTTTTCATTACCTTCTGAGTAATCTTACTTTAATTTTAACCAATCAGTTTTAAACTTCTGTTTTTGAGATACCAAGCTGTTTATTTTAAGCAAAGACTGTAGCTTTTTCTTTTGTGTAAAAGGTAAGTATAGATTGATGGCTCTGCAGTTACTAAAACACTTTTTACAGAACATGGAAACTAGTTGCTTCTTATTTCCTCCTAGCAAAAGAGAGGTAATTGGTTTAGGGAATTAAATTAGAGGAGATATTTTCATTTCTGTGTTTTGTAAAGCTTTAAAAATAAAAGCTTGCTATCAAGGACAGTAGACTAAATGAACTCTTAAGTTCATGAAGCTGTTTGTTATTTACAGTCAGGATTATAAGTTTCTCAAAGCAGGGAATATTGTATTTACATCTAGAGAGTGTATTTAAACATACATTAAAAAATATTTGATTGAAATGGATTCTTTTCCTTTTCTCTGACATGGTTGTTTTCAAAACAGTCTATATTATCTTCAAAGACTTGCAGTATTTCAGAGACTATTTGAATAGCACCTGTGTTTGTTGACATGTACATGAATGTAATAACAAGGGACAGAGATTAGCTGTATATGTGCTTGCTTGATAAATAATAATGAATCAGATGTTATTGCCCGTGTTAGGTCTGGTAGTTCTATATTCTTAATATCTAGAGTGTACCTCTAAGAACAAAGAAGTCAGTTCTACCCTTTGGGCTAGTTTTTGTAGAGAAATACAATAAGAAAATATGAAATACCCTTTTACTCAAAGAATTTGTAATTCTTAAAGGGGAAGGCAAGTCTCATAGAGAACATGTGGAATGATAATAATACCTAACATTTGACAAGCATTTTATAGTTTTTCATTCCCATTTTTCATTTAATGCATATTAAAAATCTCGCAAAATAGTCAGGGGACTGGTGTCATCCTCCTTTCGCAAATAAAATTGGGGCTCAGAGAGATTAACCCATTTACCCAGGATTTCCCGGAAGACTGAATATAATTAAATACCAAAACGTGAAATAAATATGTCCAAAATAAAGTCAGAAAAATAAAGTAGCATTATAATCAGATTAGAGAAGCCTTCATATTACAGGTGAGAATTAAGGCTTTTCTCAAGATGAGTGTGATTTCTGTGGTTAGGGAAGAGAGAAGATGGCAGAAACTTAGGTATGAGAATGAGGCAAGTGATTTAAAAGTCAGTGAGAACTTCCATTTTCAAGAAAATGAAAGAGATGTACTTTATCCTGTCCTCACACTAAGTACAACTTAATACTGTGTGTAAAACAAAACAAACATTAGAAAACCCTGGAAGTTTGGGAGAAGGTAGACTGGCCAGGGACCTTGGACCCAAAGAACAACATAGCAATGAGTTGCTTGGGTTTTCATTTTGCCTTGTATATCTCAGACTGGGTGCTAGAGAAGCAAACAATTCAGAAACACCAATGAGCACAGACAAACAGTCCCTAGGAAAAGCCTCATGTCTTAGCCAGGTGAACAGGAAAGGGGTAAGCTGGCAAGACAGAAAACTTTTAAGCAATAACCATTCTGCTGCAGCCAAACACCGCCGAAAAACCCGTGGCCCCAGCCATACCCACACCAGCAAAGGCTGAGTAGAGAACCGAGCCTGCCACCTTCTCTGGGCTATAATGAGATGCTCCAAACTCCCTTCCCCAAGATTGGGTAGGAGCTGATATTTTCACTCCTACCCGTCAATAACAAGGTGTCCCTTTCCCTCCTCACTGGGTTAGTGTCATAAGTGGCCTAGTGGAGAGTCAGGCCTTTCACCACTAACCAGAGGCAAACAAAGCCATATCCTTATGGAGAGCAGTAATGAGGCACTCCTGTGTTTCTAGTCAAAGAGCTAGGAATGGAGGCTTGATGGAGAACTGGAAATTCCATCCCACCCCTGCCCCTCAGTAATGAGGAGCCCCTCTTTATAGATGTCATCAGAGGCCCAAGGGAGAAAACTGGACTTCTCTTGCCACCTGGGAATAACAAGGTGATATCCCCTCTTCCCATACTAGAATAGTGTCAGAGGAAGACAGCTAAAACAAGTTTTAGATAAAGTTCAAAGTCTCATATGATAATACCTCAAGTGATCACAGTAAATCAGCAATCACTTATCATACTATGAGCTAGGAAAATCTCACACTGAATTTAAAGCCCACCAATAGGTACCCACATGGAGATGACAAGGAAGTTAGGATTGCCTAACCTAGATTTTAAAGCATTCATCATAAAAATATGAATTGCAGCTATGCTTGAAAGAAATGTACGAAAATAAGAGTCTTAGCAAAGAAATAGAAAGCCCGAGCAAATAGAAGCTATAAAGAATCAAATGGAAATTTTTACAGCTTAAAAATGCAAAAGCCGAAATAAAAACTAGCAGTAAATAGAATAAGCTGAATGACAGAGGAAAGAATCAGTGAACTGGAAGATAGAAAAATAGACATTATCCAGTCTGAACAACAGGAAAAAGAGACTGAGAAAAAGAAAGAGAACATTGCCTTGGGGGACCAGTGGGGCTGTACCAAAAGATTTGGCATTCATATCACTGGGGTCCTGGAAGCAGAGCAGAAAGAAGGCGTAGCTGAAAAAGCACTAAAAAAAATATGTATATATATATATATATATATATATATATATATATATATATATATATATAAAATAAAGGTTGAAAACTTCACATACTTGGCAAAAGATATGTTTATATGATTCAAGAAGTTGAATGAATTCCAAACAGATAAACCCAAAGAAATACACACCAAAACACATCATAGTCAAACTTTTGAAAACTCAAGACAAAGAAAAAGTCTTGAAAGCCACAAAAGAGAAATGACACCTTGCCTATAGGGGAAAAGTAATTCAAATGACAGTGACATTCACATCAGAAATCGTGCAGGCCAGGCCGAAATGGCAAATTTTTCAGATACTGAAAGAACTGTCAACCCAGAACTGTTATACCCAGTAAAAATATCCTTCAGGAATGAAGAAGAAATCAAGACACTTTCAGATGTTTTGAAAAATGAGAGACTTTGTCATTATCAGACACACCCTAAAAGAATAGCCAAGGGAAGTTCTCTAAACAAAAGGAAACAGTAAAAAGGGAATCTTAAAACATCAAGAAGGAAGAAAGAACACCGTAAGAAAAATATGGGTAAATGCAATATATTTTGCTTCTCTTGAATTTCTAAATTATATTTTACCTTTGAAGAAAAACATTTAACGTTGTCTGATATGGTTCTAAATGTATGCACAGAAAATATATACGGCAATTATATTAT